AATATTTACTCCATGCTTCATCAATATGAGTTATAATATTCAACATGTCGTATGGCTCTCATTCAGAAATCATTAGGCTCTTCTAGCTAAAAATGACGAATTTCCACCTGTAGGAAAAATTATAGAAAAATATATGAGTTGATAACTCAGTGAGTGGAGCAGTTCGAAAATAATTATACTTTTTCAATTTTACATTTCTATCGAAAATGGAGTTCATATCATTTAATAATTTAGAAGATAACATCATGTAATTATAACAAAAGCGAAATATTCACATAAGATCATAAATTATCATCTCAAAATCATAATATAAACATTAGCTGATAACCATGCTATAATCTCATCACATCAAACATACTGAAAAATCTACCAAAAATGTACCCTCTGACTGAAATATGTAATCCGCCTCTCGGGCAAAGAACTTTCGCCACGGGCCTTTGGCCCCTCCGTGAACGAAAGTCGGTCTCAAAGACCTCTCAAAATCAACTCTAGAACACGGCCAAGACCCCTCAGTGAACTATATGTACACGGTCGAGACCCCTTCATCCCCGGTCCATAACCCCTCAGTGTAGTATAGAACACGGCCAAGGCCCCTCAGTGAACTAAAAGAAATATATAATCACAGGTACTTTTCTGGTCGATCTAAAAATCATATCTCATATTCCAATTCACAATATAACGTATACAATCTTTGAAATCCCACATGTATGATAATATAATATATTTCCATAAAAACCATGCAATTCGAACACATAATTGCATATAATTGCACATACTTTAACAATAAATTTAGTATATAAATACTTTAAAAATATTTATATTTTTCCACTCACAGGAATAATTCCATCACCAAGTGTCCTGACCTCGATATTTCCTGAAAAATGTAACATTTCTTCGTATTAGCAACCATTTAATCCAACCCCCTAGCCAATGGACCAAAGAAATATCCAATTGCAGTCACTTTCTAATTGAAAATAATTATTTTTGTTTAAAGGTAAAAGAAGAATTTAAAGTAGAGTCCCATTCTTTTCTCTCTTGTTGCAGGTACCGATTAATAACAATTGGTCAAATCCATAATCAAAACTCCTTTAACTCATTCTCGTTCCTGTTTCTATTCAATGTATATAAATTTCTGTCCATATAATACTTCACAATTTGAAGCATTGGTTTAACTTTGAAAATGAAGCAAAACAACCTAGCACCATAAAATTAAATTATAATTCACCATAATCTTGCCCATATCATTTCTTTATTGAAAATAAGCCATTAAATTTCTTTCATATAGAATTCATCAGTAATGTCTTAACAAGTCTCCAAAGTTTAAACCAAATATTCTCCTGTTGTTTCTCCACTCCTTTACTAATGTTTAATGGTGGACTTATATTCATAATAACCCTACTCACCTTTGTTGAACTAACCCATCTCTTGCCTTGGTACCTGTATTTAGCTATATATGGGCATCATTATGCACAGCCCATCACGTAAAATTCCAATTATTTTATGATGAAATTCTTGTTCACATGATCAAATTAACCCATTTCCTTTCTTCCTTAGGGCTTGCCCTGCTTCTTAGGTCTAATTGCTACCAATAACTATAATGATGAAAACAAAATCCATAAACCTGAACTACTACAATTTGGTGTTACCTTGTTGCAGTCAAGAATCAACCCCAAGCGAGAAGCATAATTCGACCTTGTTCACGTCGATGTTGCTGCTCCTTTCCTGTTTATTTGCAATTCTAGTTATTGTTTCTCTCCCCCTCTTTTCTCTCTCTTTTTCCTCATGTTTCTCGATTCTTCTCTACTTCTTTTTGCATTTATTTTCCCATTGTTTTCTGCTTCTCTTTGGGTCTCTGGAACTCTCTGCGTTTTTTGCCCCAAACATGAGAAATTTTAACATTTATCTCTTCATTAAATGGATAACTATAGAACATTGCAAGCCAAGCCCCTCAATCTCCATTCATTATTACATGTAGTCCTTAAATCCTCAAAAAGAGAAATTAAATCCCTAGATTCCTGTATGACACTCTTTCTTACAATTTAAGTCCCATAAAAATCATTTGTTCAACTTAAGTTTC